AGCTGGGTTCTCATATCTACTTCTTCATGCAATCTAATGCAACATCATGTGTCATGGATCCTCTGGAAAATTTTGAGGTACCTTACATCACTGCTCTGTAATTTCTCTGATGTCTTTATCTTTAAAAAAAAGCTCATTTTCTGCCCCCTTGGGCAGTTCTCTAAAGCCCTTAGTTTGCTGAGCGGAGTTACCATTTTCTGTTCCCAAGAGTGCAGTGTGTGAGTCGTCGGGGATGAGGGCCGTGCCGTGTTAGGGAGAGATCTCTGGGTTGGGACATAGTGGCAGGGCTGGGACTAGAGCAACATACCCTGACTAGCCAGTGACTCCAGGATCACCTCTGTTCTCTGGGTCTTGTCTTCTTCATCTGTGAGTTTCATATAAAATATGTAAAACCACTCCCAGCTTTAATCATCCATAGTTCTAACAGGAGTTAGAATGTCAACTTCGTTATAAAAATACGATGTAAGAATACTTGGGTTTTTTTCATTCTCAAGGTTTGTATGTTGTTTATTTTTTGCTTTCTGAATGAAAGGGACTTTGAGAGTAAAGAATGTATCTTAAAGTTATATCTAGGAATATAAGCTTGAAGTGTAACTGAATTTTTCATTCTTTGGATTAATAACAGAAAAACCAAAGAAAATACATGAGACTTAGAATTTTAAGCGATTTGACATGGTTGTGCTTGCTGAGAGAGGTTTTAATGTAGATAAAAGCAATTGCTTTTTCTGTTTCTCCGATTAAAACATAAACCAGTTGGTCTTGGGGAAAATACATTCCCTAGTCTTTACTTGGAGATAACTCGTAAATATTTTTTACATCCATTATTAGGTAATCAAGAAAATTGGGCATTATCTCAAGATGAATATAACGGTGCCAGAAGATTACATCAAAGGATTTATTCGGGCCAACAATACCTTCCTTTATCAGCTAGTTTTTGATCCCATCAAAAGGAAACTCACCCCTCTGAACGCCTATGACAGTGACATCGATCCTGAAGCACTAAGCTATGCTGGGCGGTATCCTTTCTGAACCAGACTGGTAGAAGTTCGCACTTCTCCCATATATTTATGGTGATGTTTTTAGGGAGACATTCAGTAAAAAGCTTGCAAGTTGTCTTTTGCTTCCTTTTTTATAGCGAAATCTGTGTTTTGTTCATTTTAACTACCATCCTAGTGAAAATTCAGAGCCACATTTTTGTTTATAAATCTGAGCCTCATTCGTTATAACTTGCTAATTACTTAGATTGACTTGACAGAAACACGTCCCATGTCAGTCACTTAAGGTGCGTATTCCAAAGGGGGCGCTTAAGAGAAACACTCAGTGACAAGCAAGCTGGATTTGTTAGTGGGCGCTAGTGGGCATGAGCGTTCGAGCTGAGGATGCCCTGCCCACAGCCTCGGACTACACACACCCAGGGCGACGCACAGCCCCGAGTCACCCAGGTGGCGGCCAGGACTTTCCATCTCCTTTGAAGGGGAGTCAGTGATGACTTGGGGCTTTGCTGTAGAAAACTGCCAACTCCTGCAGTGACAAACAGATGAGTAAAGATGCTTGTGGTTTCAGTAGTGCTGAATGTCGGAGTCAGTGGGACCCATTGAGGTCGTAAACCTGAAATTTTCTGTGGCAACAGAATACACTTTCCTATCTTAACATAGTATCATTTGTTTGGTTGTTAATGAAAGCATTTTTCCTTAATCTTACCAACCTAGGTATGTTGATGATTCTGTAGCTCTTCAAATAGCACTTGGAAATAAAGATATAAACACTTTTGAACAGATTGATGACTATAATCCAGACACCGCTACGGTAACATTTTAATGACTTCTTTCTAAAAGAGCACATTTCATTGTAGTTATGTCTCAGGAACTGTGATAAAGGCAAACCTTCATTTAGTAAACGTCTTTTATTAAGCGTTTTTAGATCCAGGCACTATACAGAGTATAGGTTGAAAAAAACAACTTGATGCTGGAGAAATTGTATCTCTTAGAATATAGGTATATTGGTTAATTTCCTTAAGTTAAAAGGTGGCCATGTTATATATTATCAAACCTTTAGGCGTGAACATTTTATTTGAATATACCAAGTGTTGGATGTCTTTTTCCTCATCTTACCCTCTTTGGCCTCTGGCATTTGATTGTTGAAGACCCAAACCTAGAAATACTCTCCTTGGGAGAGTACAAGCTGGTTATTTCACTCATTCACAATTTAGCAAATATTTAATGAGCACTCCCACTATGTGTCTTTGAGCCCTTTCCTGTTTTCTTCTTCCTTTTCCCAATTGTATATGTCCCTTACAATACACTTTCCCCCTTTCTCTCTTTTCTGTTTGTATTTGTTCCAACCCAGTCTCTGGTCTATGTACCAGCCACTTAATTCTAAATATCTCTTGAATCTTAACATAAATGATTTCCTGTACCCTTAAATCTATCTACAGTCAAAAACAAACTCTTCATTTCTTATCAGCTTTTCTTTATACTATTTCTCTTTTTTTTCTTTTTAGCATTTACTGCCACATAATTCCTATCTCTATGGCTTATTTTCTGATTCTTCTCCAAAGAATGTAATCTTCAGAAAGACAGGGTTTTATGACCTTTCATTGCTAAGTCCTTACAAGCAAGGATTATATGTATATGTTTTTGTACTTCAGGACACCTAGCTAGCCTAACTATGTTTGTTAAAATCCTTAATAAATGCTTAGTAAAGGACTGAATTAGTCAGCAAAGGTGAAAAGGCCTGGATTGGACTGGAAGCGATGAGAAAGAAGGAACTATCAGTCAGAAAGACAACTAATAGAAGCAAAAGGACTTAGCAATGAAAGCAAGCCAGCCTATCTTCCAGGTTTTCTAGTCTGAAAGAATGAAAGCGATCATGTAACTGACATTCATTCGATGAATAAACGCGGTAAATACACCAATACTAACTGGCGATAAGCCCTTTCTCAGAGAAAGCTTTATGTAAGACTCAGTGTAGGCCACAGAAGCTCTCAGTTTCTCCGTAATGTCCTACTAAAGATGGCACCGAATATGGGTCTAATAGAAACTAGTGTTTTGTAAATTAGATTGTTTTGATTTGAACTCAGCCAATCTCTAGAGGTGGGATAGTTGATTACTTTAAATAATTTTATGGTGTTAACTTTCAGGTGTTTTGTAAAGAGTATGTAAATAATTATTGCCAGATGATTATTAAATTAATTAGTATCGTATATTAAAATAGTACTCAAATTTTAAAAGTACTTTTTTTCTGTCGACAATTCTTCAATTGCCGTCTCATTTCTTGCACCGTTCCTCTTAGGAAGGTTATTTTTTATGTCTTAGAAATGAGCTAACAAGGTTACTTGACCCTCATTAGAAGAGAAACAAACCTAAGAATACAAGACACATAACGGAAAGTGTAGGACCGGAAAAGTAGAAAATGTTATTAGAGGACAGGTGTTTCATCAAAAAACTGTTCTTTATAAGGGTAATTCAGTTATTTGCTTATAATTTATGTTGATACAGAGGGAAGTAAATTATTTTTCTTTAAGTAAGCTTTTTTCTTTTACTGTTTTAGCTTGCCCAATCAAGAAGTCATAGTTGGAGTGACAAAACATGTCAAAAATCATCTAACAGTATTTGGCATAAGAATTATTGTCCTAGACTTAAGCTGGATATTGTTCCAAATGCTACAAAATTGAAGGAAAATCTACATACTCTGGGCATTGAACAAGTAATTAGTACTAAAGGTTTAAATCTTCCAAGGAAATCGTCCATTGTGAAAAGACCAAGAAGTGGTAGGTATTTCGTTTTTGTGAAATACTAGTGACTATTAGTCACATTTAAGAAATCTGTGCTAAACCCAAGGTCACTAAGATGTTCTCCTGTTTTCTTCTAGAAGTTTTGTAGTCTTAACTCTTACATTTAGGCCTTTGATCCATTTTGAATGAATTTTTTATATGATATGAGGTAAGCATGAAGGTTCCCTTTTTTTGTGTATGGCAATTCAGTTGTCCCAGCACCGTTTAACAGATTATCCTTTCTCTATTATTAAATTGCCTTGGCCCACTTGTTGACAATCAATTGACCCGATAATGTGTGGATCTGTTTCTGAACTGTTATTCTGTATCATTGGTCTCCTTTCCTTTCTTTATGCCAGACGCACTGTCTTGATTACTGTAGCTTTATAGTCAATCTTAAAAGTCAAGTAGTGTAAGTCCCCTAAGTTCTTTTGAAAAGTTATTTTGGCTGTTCTGTGTTCTTTACATTTCCATACAAATCTTGGAATCAACTGTCGATTTCTTTAAAAAAAGAAAAAAAGCCCTCTGTGATTTTGATTGGAACTTAGTTGAATCTATAGATCAATTGGGGGAGAATTGAGATCTGAACAATACTGAGTTACTGAGTTTTCTGATCTGCTTATTGAAGTCTTCAGCAGTGCTTTGTAGTTTTCCACTGCTCCAGGCTTGCACATCTATTGTCAAATTTATACCAAGATTTTAGGGGTTTTTTGTTGTTTGGTTTTTTTTTTAAGATTTTAATTGGGTAATTGGGGAAGGGGAACAGCCAAGCTGTTGTCCTTCAGTCTTAGTTGTGGAGGATGCAGCTAGCTCAGCTCTGAGTCCAGTCACCATCTGGCCACCCGTCGGCAGCTCGAGACCACTCAGCTCAACGTGCTGTGTTCAGTCTTAGTTGGCGGGAGCATAGCCCACCATCCCGTGTGGGAGTGGAACCACCAACCTTGTTGTTAGGAGCACGTGCTCTCACCAGCTGAGCCATCTAGGCAGCTCAGCGGCAGCTCAGCTCAGGCGCAGCTCACTGGCCCATGTGGGAATCGAACTGGTGACCCTGTTGCTCAGAGCTTGTACTCTTAACCAACTGAGCCACACAGCTGGCCCCTAATTTTTTTTTTTTCTAAGCTAAAAGTTTCTTGTCTATTCCAGGTTGTGCTTTGGCTACAAAGGTTTTTAATAATTGTATAACTATTACAGTGAGTGATTGTTGAGATGTGATCTGCTTACCATAGAGCACAGTAAATTTTTAGAGTTGTAGCACGATTTCAGTGTCATCTAAAGACTGCTTTTATTATTGCAAACTAGGATCATGTTAGCTTTTGTATGCATTCTTGTCATTTTGTTGGCATTTACTGAGTTCATGATCAAAATCTACCAGTTGTTGTAATGGTACAGTTAATACTTTAAACTTAAACGTGGGTTAAATTAGTCCTTTTGAAGTAATCTGAATTCATTTTAACCCGTTGTTCTGCCCACTAATATTATTTTTCTTTTTTGAATCTTTATTATCTTTTAATATATGGGTGTTATCTGTGTCAGCTGGAAATTTGAGAAGTATGGCTCCATGTGTCTTAAAGTTTTGGTTAAAATGTGTTTGCTTAATGTAACATTTAATTAAATCAGTGAGTACCGAAATCTAAAGCACTAGATGGAGGCCGACCTCCTTTCAGACTAATAATTGCCAATGGTCTTTCAGGGCTGTTCAGCTTGCTGCAAACCCTCGTAACTAATATACAGTAGATTTTGCTCTGTATTGCCCACTAGGATAATATGAGAGACACTGAAGTGTCTTGCTCAATTCAAGGTATGCTAAATCTATGGAATTCCCCTGCATAGCTGGTCTAGAGCTTATCACACAAAGAAAATGAGGTTAGTCTGGCATGACTTCTTGTTGGAGCTCCTACAATATTTGTTTTATCCTCTTCTGTAAGGGCTCACAATTCCCTGCATAATAAAAAGATTTAGGCTTTTTCCAGGAGTCAAAATCAAGTTTACTGGTCTATAGTTTTTCGAAAATGTATACATTTTTAAATTTGAGGTATCATCTTCTTGACTCTACTGTTTTGGCGCCCCCAACCATTTTACTGAATTCTTAGCGTAATGAGCATTTGATTCCTACGTGAGTGGACGCTGTGCAGACTGAGAATTAGTTGAACTAATTTAAAACTCCTTAGTGCCATCTCAGTCCTTGCCCATCTCAGGTGGTAGCATTTTGTATTATTTAGTCTTATGATTTGTGCTAATACCATAGAATACATTTGCCACGCAGCCGTCTTCTAGGGCCCCATAGCTAGGAAATAAGGATCAGAGCAACAGCACGAACTACTTCTGACTCATGACAATCACATGTACCTCAAAAACCCTGTCACATAAATGGTGTGTGTAGATAGCTGCTGGTTTTACACTGGAACATTTTTAAAATCAAACATTAAATTAGTTATACATTTACATGTAAAACGCCTTAATGTTTTGATGTTTATTTTTTTTTAACATTTAAAATTAGGCCCTTAGTATAATGAGTATATAGCCTTACAGAATTTATTGTGTTCTGGAATTTTGGTTTGGGTAATTTCACATAAAATCATACAAATAATTGACATTAAATCTTAGCTAATTTGTGAAATTGTAAAGCACAGTTAAGAAAATTGTTTTTGTTTTTTAAGTTATCCTTGGATTTCCTTTTCTGATGCATAGTTTAAGAAAAAAAGAGTTCATTCTTAGGACAATGGGACATGGACTGTGAAGTTAAGGCGAAATCTCTAAGTACATATGAAACAAAGATTTATAGAGAGTTTTGTTTTTATTTAGAAGAGCTGTCAGAAGATGATCTGTTGAGTCAATATTCTCTTACATTTACAAAGAAGACCAAGAAAAATAGCTGTGAAGGTAATACATCATTGAACTCTTCCGAAATATTTACTCCTGACCTGGTAGATCGAACTACTGTTAAAAAAAGCTTAAGTGCACCACCTCCTACAAGAAACAAATTTGCAACGTTTTTACAGAGAAAAAACGAAGAAAGTGGTGCAGTTGTGGTTCCAGGGACGAGAAGCAGGTATGGTTATTTATCTACAGAATGTTGTTTGTCTGTTGTATTCTGTACTCTATTAATAAATATTTTAATTGTCTTTAGTAAACATTTAATCTAGTCGGGGTAGGACCTTCCCTAATCCGATTACAGTTTTTATCATGTATTGCCCTAGTTCAGACCTAAATGCACAGCGTTTCCCTTGAATTTCCGTTATTTTTATAATATCTTTCTACAGAACCAAAGTAAGAATTGTAGACCTTATTATGTTTTGCATTAGAAAAATTCAGTTATTTTGGGGAGTCCCTACTTCGTTGTTTGTACTTTTTTGTTTCTTTAAGAGCTAAATATAATTTTGCAAAGTATTGTTAGAAATATTTTTAAATACAGATGACTAAGATGAGAACTTGATAAAGTACAAGGTGTTGGGTTACCACAATGAGAGACATAGTTTTTATTCTTGAGAAGCTTGTAGCGTAGTTGGAAAAACAGGCTCGTAAATGAAACCTTTTCATACAGTGTGGTAAGTGCAGTGACAAAGCGCGTGTAAGGTGATTTGAGGGCATTAAAGGGGCATCGGATGCTGAGTCAGTGGTTGGGAAGGGTGAGAGGGAAGGGACAAGTATTGGGTGCCATTACCTCGGTGTAAATGACTAGTGGGGTGAAGCCGACCAAGAATGAGCCAGACACCTTGCCAGCGGGCAGAGGCATGGCAGGAGCAGCACATGGGGCACGGCAGCCGCTCCTTATCGCGGGGCCTGGGAAAGGGTGACGAAGGAGCAGAAATAGGCAGTAGGCCAGTTCATGGAAGGCCTAGAAACCCGGTTCAGGAACTTTTAGCCTTTGGAGGAAACATTTAGAGGGTTTTGATCATGGGAGGGTGTGACCCAATTCCCGGCTTAGACAGACCACTCTGAGCACTAGAGGGCCAGAGCCGAGCCGGAAGATTGGTGAGGCTGTGCTATCGTCCCTGCAGCGATGAGGAGAATTTGAAGAGTTGGTAGAACATAGGGTGAGCAATTTGGGCCCTGGGCTTAGACTACCTGAATTTGAATCCTGTCCTCTTTACTCATGAGATGTTTGATTTGGGCAAGTTAACTTCTGGGTGCTTTAGTCCCCTCTTGTTAAAAAATGGGCCTAACAACTAAAAGAACCTCAGGGTCTTTGAGAGGATTCGATTATTATCATAAATGAAGTGCCTACAACAGTGCCTGGCAGATGACAAACATCAATGGAAAACTCTTTGTCCGGATGGTGGTAGCACAGCCAGAAACAGGAAATTTAAGTGTCAGAAGTTTTTTTGGCTTGATATTACTAAGGAAAAGAAAATTTATCAGCTCCTGCATTCTTCCAGAAGACTTAGAATGAATACTTTTTATTTTCCAAGTTTAATGTACCAGGCTGCAGCCAGTTTTGTCTAACCATGATGGTGGTAGCTGGCAATGAAAGAACGAACCCCTGGTAACGCCTTGTTGTAGGTGATGTTTCAAACCCTTCTCCCATCAGCTATTCTCAAGGAAACATTCAAAATACAATTAAATGATCACTTTGGTTCTTGCTTTTCTGGTCACCCTCATTAAAGGTGCTTGTTAGCAGTGGAATGATAAAAAAAAAGTAGACGCAGAAGATGGAAAAGAGGGTTCTAGATGAAATATGCTGATTAATAAGTGCTAGAAAATTGACTTTTTTTCCTTGGAGAAATTTCTGGAACTTGTGTTTCATTTTTCTATTTGGGTGAAACTAGAATTTCTCTTTCCTGCCTCCTAGTGTTTAACTCTTCCCTGAAGACAGCTAATGAGAGCCATGCTTGTGTGTGTCTGCAGTGCTTTTCTGTTAGGTCCTTATAGAGGCTTAATGAAATCTCAGTTTGAAGCTATACACGGCTGCTTTATGTAGTTTAGTTCAATGTTTCACTAATGAATTGTTCAGAGGGTGCATTAAATGCTTGGAGAAAGAATTTTTCCTCCATCAGCTTCCTGTGAAATATAATTGGGAGTTAGTCTTTGATATGTAATTTTCTGACCTGGATTATATAGCAACATCTAGTAACTAGATATTATTAGTTTTCTTTGCTGATTTTCAGAGTTCCTTTATATATTCTCTTATTCCTGACAACAACATTATGAGATATTCAGGGTTGGTGATGTGTTCTTGAGAGTGAGAAACTGAGGCTCAGAGAGGTTAAGAAACTTTCCCAGGGCTGTGGCTGTGTCGTTAGCACTGATGATAGGAAACATTTCTAGAAATAGTTGACATGATGGAGTGAAAGGAGCATACAATTTGGTAGCCCTGGACTTGAAGTTTCACTCCGTCACCTACGGACAATTAGTTGTGTGATCTTTCGCATCCCACTTAACTTCCCTTACCCTGTTTCTTTGTGTATAAACTGTGGATCATATACATAGGGCCTTTCCTAAGACTGGTAGAAGCTGTGTATGTCTAACCCCATTCTTCCTAATGTAATGCAACAGGAGGAATTAAATATGCAAAAGTTGTCGCCAATCTGTCTGTTTTAAGTGTTCTTGATCTTTATTATATTGATACTTTAGAAACATACCATTTTATCTTTTGAAATTTAGAAATATCAATATCAGTTAAGTAATACCATAGGTAATTGGGAAGAAGCAGCCATGAACTGGGAGGGGTTCTGGGTTTTAATCCTGTTCTTTAGCTTTTTGAATTTTATAACCTTGGGCACTGTCACTTCTCTTACCCATGAAATAATACATGGAAGAATATTTGGATGTCATCAAGATTATTGTTTACTTAAAAATAAGTTCTGTGATCAGATCTAGGAGCCGATGTTTTCCACCCAGCGGAAACCCTAGGAAGACTGTCCTTTCATGTTCTGCTTCCTCTGGCCCTGTACACACACACCTCTTAGGGATTTGATGAAGAATAGAGAGGATGTTTACTCTCCAGCGTTTAGTAAATATTCTGCTTATATCTTGGGCTTGAACTCAATAATGCTTATAGAGGAGGTAAATTCTCTTTAAGTTTCATATTTATCTGATCATGTACTCTAAGATTTTCTTTTTCAACCTAAAAACCCTTGAATACATCCTCTCCAACAATGATACAGATCTTCCTTTCCTTTGTATTAGAGTATTTTTAAGTGATTTTTTTAAAAGCTGCTACACGAGTAAGTGATACCTCTTTTGTAATGCAGAATTTAATGATTAATTTGAAACTTAACCTCAATATATAAAATAGTATAGAAGTTTATAGGGTATATAAAAAACTGGTAGATGACTGTACTGCAAGTTCCCAGATGGTTTGTTACTAAGAATTAAGCTAAGATGAGGGGTAAATGGCTGATTTCTATTCATTTTACTTTCTACAAAATATGAAACAGTAATTGTAAATTGTCCTTTCTGTTGCGTATTTTCATATTTGTTCAAGTCTTTGGCTCTCAGCCACATGTCAGCCACTGTTTCAGGTACTGTGGAGGATACAAAGGCATGGATAGAGCCTGGCCTCAAGGAGCTTAGAGCCTGGGTGTTATTATAAAAAGCTTAAGGGAGGGCCGGCCGAGTGGCTCAGCTGGTTAAGAGCTCGCTCAAGAGTGTGAGCTCTGAGCAACAGTGGTTCGAGTCCAGCCCGAGCTGAGCTGCTGCTGAGCTGCCAACAGGTGGCAGGATGGCTCAGCTAGAAAAAAATAAAAATAAAAATAAAAAGCTTAGGGGAAAGACTAGACATGGATAAAATACACAAGCTCCAAATATGTGTATATGTAGACGACTGCTTTGAGAAAACCCTAAAATTCATTGTGTAAATAAATTTCTAAATGTGTGCGTTTGGCATAATCAAAACTGAACTGTGAAAATCTATTTTGCCTTCATTTGTGAAATGTATTTATGAGACTTTTTTTTTTAAAAAAGAAACTGGGCCATAGTCTGAATCTTACCACCTTGTGAGCAAACTCTAAAGTTCTAAGGCATTCTTTCTGTTAGGTTTTTTTGCAATTCTCTGGATTCTGTGGACTGTGTATCAAAGACAGCAAGCAGCCAGCCTCTCGATGAAACTGCTGTCCCCGAGAAAGACACCAGTCTAAATGAATCAGATTGTCTAGATGGCAAAGGGCTGGTTGATGCGAATGTAGCACATAATTCAAGCGATCAGATTCCAGATGAAGTGACTGTGATTGCTGATGAAGAGCCTCCGTCTTTTAAGACCAGCAAATTCACAAGGACCGTTTCTCCACCCACTCTGGGGACACTGAGAAGCTGTTTTAGTTGGTCTGGAAGTCTTGGAGATTTTTCGAGAACTCCGAGCCCCTCTCCAGGGACAGCACTGCAGCAGTTCCATCGAGAGAGTGATTCTCCGCGCTCCGTGCCTGAAAATAAAGAGATGACTGACGGATCTCAGGTGAAGAGTGATGAGTCAGGTGATGAAGCTCATTCCTCGCACGAAGTGACTTGGTCTTCGCAGTCTCAGGAGAGCGTAGCATTATCACAACACTTAGATGCATCCGAACTCTCTCAGCCCTGCAGCAAGGATTCTGATTCAGAGGTGAGTCAGATCATGATGCCATTGTTTTCCAACTCATATGTGAAAGAAGATAGGGTGTTTATCATACAATCGAGAAAAGTTTGCCTGCATTATGGAAATTGGCTGTCTTAATTTTCCCTTCTAGATCTTACTGTGTAGAAAGTTCACGTTGTATTCATCCGAAGGACTTCTCTGTATCTTTTATATTTTAAAGTCTTGTACATTTCATCTAACTGTAAAGCTTGAATCATGTGTTCCATTGACAGGTATCTCAAGTTGTAGAACAGTTAAAATCTAAGCAGAATGATTAGCTATGAAATGAAAACTTGTTATGAATTTAATATTTAAATCTTGAATTCAGATACCATTTGAAACCTTATAAGAAAATGGCCTTATTAATGTGATGGTCGCATCTTAAGTTTTAGTACTTCAGAAATATATTTTCGTTTATTCTTCTTAATCTTGCTAAACTCCCCCTTTATAACAAAACAAAGTAGTAATACAAGTGATTTTATGTTATTTTGTTTTAAATTAATGAAAGCATGCTAACCATTTTTTATTTATAAAATATTCTGACTTAAATAAAATCAAAACACCAAATAAGACCCGATGATATTATATTTTAAAATAACATGATGGCATAATAGCCTTTTTGAAATCCGAGTTATCTCATATTTACCAATATATCATACTTCATTTTGTATCTACAATTATCAAGTTGTAACTTGGCAATATTTGACAGAATTTTGATGTCTGATAATCCTGAATATTGGACAGCATCTCATAAATCAATATCTTATATTTATCAAAAGGAAAACATTTTATTCAAGTTCCTAAAGGAAACATGAGTTGCATTGTACTCAAATTGAAGACAAGAGCCAACTTAAAATGTGGAAACAAATTGTTTTCATTTGGAGAAAGCTGAAATCAATTAATATATTCAAATCCAAAATCTGTTCATGTGGTATTTTTAAGTTTTAGAGTATGCCCGTCCAAATCCTTGGCTGCCTTAAGGCTTTCGCTTTTCTTTCCTCTTTCACTCACTCTGCATTTGGTGCATCCATACTCGTCTAGAGGACTCTGTTTCTTTTAATATGCGCCTCCATTTTAATGTCATCTTTTTCATTTTTCACCCCATACTGCATTTTCTCTTGACACCATTTGGGTGCCACCTCAGTTGCCATCTCTTGGACAGCTTTCATAAAAACATCACCATCTATTTGTCTGCTGAGTTTGTCTGGGGCGTTTTTTTCCTTTTGCCAGCAGACGTCTTCCTGTTTAACTTACTTTGTAAGCATTTGGCTGTGTTTTATGAAGAAGCCTTACCAGCTCACAGGCTGTGGACCAGCCATGCTGACAGAACTCTCCACACTTCTGTCTTCTGGGCTAACCATTTTTTGTACTGATCAGTTAGAGAAACACGAATCCTCTCCCCTCACCAAAACAACAAACTAAACTAGAAATCATTCATTAAGTCATCTCTCTCTTGCCTCCAGATGTAGTAAATCCCTAGTAGGATAAATGAATTGTTAATTCTCAAAGAACTCCAACATGGACAGTTAACATAAAAACTATATAATCCAGGGCTGGCTGAGTGGCTCAGTTGGTTAAGAGCTCACTCAAGAATGCGAGCTCTGAGCAACAGCGGTTCGATGCCCTGCCCGAGCTGAGCTGCCAACAAGTGGCAGGATGGCTCAGCTAAAAGAAGAAAATCAACAACAACAAAAAACGATATAATTAGTCTTTCAGAAAATGTTTAAGAAAGCCACAGTGCCCTTGGGGCTTCACTTGAATATCAATTTTGACTGTGTACTTTGAAGAAAATGTTTCTCTTTTGGGACTGTCATTGGAGGTTCACTGTGAAATGCAGCAATCATACCTTCTGTGTGTTTTGAGTTCATTGACCCTATATGAGGTGAATTAATCTTAGGATCTTACTCGTGATCTCTAAACAATGGTTTAGCCTAGGGTTTAGCTGTGAGCGAGGAACATTAACGTTTCTATAGTTTAGTCCAAGTTAATGGAGTAGTTTCCACTTTTCTTTTCTTTTTTTAAATATATGTAATACTGTGTAGAATCCCAAGATAAATATTTTTTTTAAAAACCTTAAAAAATGCAGAAATGTAAAGTCTTCTAAATTTCCATTCATTATTCTTTTTATTTAACTTTAGTGGGAATCCAGATTGTTCTGTCTATAGAAAAGTCTTACATGATGGGATGGGGGTAGAGGGTAGGTCTTAAAGTCATTCATTGCTAACGGTAACTGCATTCAATACAATATACTCTACTTCTTGAAAGTAGATGCCTTCTTTCCCTTTAATATTGAGTGTGTTACACAACTAAGTGATGTAGAACCATGCTAGCTCGACTTTTTGTAGCTAGTGACTTATGAAAACTATTGGGTTGTTGGAAAAACATGACACATTTTTGCAACGAAAAACATAGAAAAAAATATGTCATTTTCCGACAACCCAATATTAGCCAAGCTTGCAATGATATTACAGCAGGAGAATTGTCTTATCTGAGTTAGCGTTTTGGCAGGCTCCTAAAACAATTCAGAAAAGCTTTCAATTTTAAATGTTTATTTTACAGAATTTATTCTCCAGCTAAAACATGTTGCTAGTTTCTTCAGTTTAATTTGCAGTGAAACTGACAAACCTCAGTCTTTCCACATTAGATGCATTTTCTTTTATTCTAGCCCAAGCTTTTTATACTTTCTTTTCTGAGAAATTACATTTTATTTACTCTGACTTTTTCATTTTACTTGTATGGTTTTTGGGGGGGTTTTTTTGTTTATTTGTTTGTTTGTTTTTTAATTTTATTGGGGAACAGTGTGTTTTTCCAGGACCCATCAGCTCCAAGTCAAGTAGTTGTTTCAATCTAGTTGTGGAGGGTGCATCTCAGTGGCCCATGTGGGGATCAAACCGGCAGCCCTGGTGTCATGAGCACTGCGCTCTAACCAACTGAGCCAACCAGCTGCCCCTACTTGTATGTTTTGTTGAATATTGGTTAGTTGTAAAATAAAAATTCCATAGTAAAAATCTAATTTAATTTTATTTTTTGATCTGGGGAATCTAGGAATCTGACTGCAATTTTAAGTCACTTGATAATCAAGGTAATCCGGAATTCAAGCTACGTTTATCTCGTTTCTCGAAAAAAGACACTCCTCTCAGGAACAAGGTAAAACATTGATTATTTTTTTAATTTCAGAAGCAGTACGTGCTTATTACCAGAAAATGAGAAGTATAAGCAAAGTTAAAAATTAAAATGCCCATATTTTTATTTACACAAAAATGTCTGCTTTCAAGCCTTCTAGGACCATGCTGGTGCTTGCTTATTGGTGTTTAAGTTGTGAAACTTGCTGTTTCCCTTGGGGTATAAAGATCTTTTTCGGTGGACTTACTTGGCATAACTTATAATGACCATACAGTCATGTGCCACTTCACAAGGCGGATGCGTTCTGAGAAATGCATCTAAGGTGATTTTGTCGTGCGAGCATCCCAGAGCACACACCCAGGCTCTGTGGGATGACCTGTTGCTCCCAGGCCACCAACCTGTACAGCATGTTACTGTACAAAGCAACATGAGATTAAATCACGCACAAGGGAAACGGTGCAATGAAGAGGCTGTAAACAGATGTATGAGGCTGCTGCCCACGGAACTTGACAGCAAACTTTTTTTCTAAGTATGAAGAGTATGCTCTAAAATACCGATAGAACTATAGTATAGTAAATACATAAACCAGTAACATAGTCATTTACTACTATTAAGTTACGGCCACAGTGCATATTCAGTGCTTAGCTCAGATGGAAAAGGCATTAAACTTTATCGTAAGTATGTATGTGTAGGAAAAACGATAGTGGGCATAGGGTTGGGTACTATCCGCGGTTTCAGGCATCCACTGCGGGTCTTGGAACGTGTACCCTGTGGATAACGGGAGACGACTGTAAATGGATTCAGACAGGGATTGCCTAGAGACAGTGAGGGAGGTAAGAAAGACTTTTCTCTCTAGTCTTTTATAACATGAACTTAGTGCAAGGTACACATATTACCTGTTAAAATTATTATGATAATTTTATAATAGACATTTATAAGTAGCACATTTTTACATATTGCTTATAGGTTATTTTTCTGTTCCGGAGTATAAAGAATAGTTTGAAGTTGACTAAAGGTAATTGCTTTAACAGAAGAGCATTAAAACGGGCATTTAATCTTTAGGTTCCTGGGCTGTATAAATCTAGCTCTATGGAAAACCTTTCTACCACCAAGATCAAACCTCTAGTACGTGCCAGAGTCAGTGGGCTGAGCAAGAAGCCAGCAAGCATCCAGAAGAGAAAGCACCCCAACGCCGAGAACAAGCCAGGACTACAGATAAAAATCAATGAGCTCTGGAAGAATTTTGGATTTAAAAAGTGAGTTGCCATGTTACTTATTCTAAAATAAAATAAATTTATTTTTTTTCCTGTAATTTCAGTCATTCTCCCAGCTCCACTTACATATATATCAGTTTCTCTTTCTCTTACCTAAGAGGATTATATTCCTCTCTTTCCTTTAGCTGACTCTTTGTAAGTAGAGTTAACTTCAGTTTTTATTCCTTCTTTTGGCAAGAAAATGGCGAACTTCTTGCCAAAAACCTCAGTTCTCCATCTGGCTCTGGGAGGTCCCTCTGTAGCTAACAAACAGAAAAATTACATGAGTGTGATAGGATTAAACCTTATCTAATAGAAATGTCACAATCAGATGAAATGGTGTGGGAAGAAACACTGTGTATCAGTAAGTGCTGGATAATTATTTTTTTATTTTACATTGTGTGAAGCCTAGGATTAAACCATATAGCAACAGTTCTCAAACTTTTTGCCTTCAAACGTTCAGGAATTCTTGACACTCTTAAAAGTTATCGAGAGCCCCAAAATACTTTGTTTTATGTGTGTTATATCTGTCAACATTTAAACATCTTAGAAATTAAAACGGACACTTTAAAAATATTTACTTAGTTTTAAACAATAATAAGCCCATTAAATATTAAAGCCAATAGTATATTTTTACAAAAAATAGCTATGTTTTCCAAAACTGAAAAAAAAGTGAGAAGAGCGACATTATTTTACATTTTTGCAAATCATTACTGTCTGGTATATCAGAACTGAGCAGGATTCTTATATGTGCTTCTGCATTTGATCTGTTGTGTTGTTTTGGTTGAAGCATATGAAGAAAATCTGGCCCCACACATATTTGTAGTTTGAAAATGTATATTTTAATAGCTTTTCTATTTAATTGTAAATTGTCTTCTTTAATATTACATTAAAGTTCAACAAGCAGTCATTTTTTAAGACTAGTTGCAATGTAGAAGAATATGAAGCCCTATCAATTGACTGTCATTCTTTTGGAGTCTTATGGACCATTCTTTTGGTCCATACTGCACTTAGAGTGCATCTTTTACTTTACTCCTATATGATTTCATAGCATCATGCATTGGGCAATAGGAAAACAGACTTATCTTCCAAATAGTGACACATTTCATTATACAGTATTTAAAAAGCATAATCTTATCAAAGTCTGAGCAGTGGGAAGCTGTCAAGTGGCAGGTACAAGGTTTCCAAAATTCTGGTTTTCACTTGAAAGCTTGAATTTTATCTTTGGCAACAAATATTGTTAGTTGCTTTCTTTGAAGTAACAAACAGGCTCTCTTTGTTCATTTTAGAGAAGCTTTTCCAAATACCCAGATTTGAATAACCATAGTGTTACACATGCTTTTACTTGAGATAATTCATCATACTTCAGTATGCAACAAAAGTCAGTATTCAACAAAAGTGCATTATGTGTGTTTCCCGTTTTTGTCACAGAATATTAAGAAGTTGAAAGGGTTGAGATTTAATGAAATTAATGGTTTTTACTACATCACGAATGTTCTTAAGTGAGACTAGCATTCTATTTTAACTAAGTATGTGGAGGTAGAGAATACAAGTACACTCTTCCAGGGGAAAAAAAAAAAAAAGATAGGGTTAAAACATTGTTCATGCCTCAAATATGTTGGTTCTTAGCCAGTCTTAGGAAGGGCGCTAAGGAGGAAGCGACTGAAATTTCTTTATTGGAATCATCCTGCTTTAGCTAGTCTGTTTGGTAGTGACCTAGCACCAACTGTGAAAGGTAATTTAGAAAGCAGGAAGGGACACTGAAGGAAAACTCAAATTGTATTGGGCATACTCAGAGGAAAACCTGAATGTGCATATAATGAATTGAGACAAATTATACAATAAAGGGTCTTGTCTTCTTTATGTACCTCTGTTTTATCCAGGAAGATTAGTCTTTAGTAATCACTACCCTAAAAACACCAAATTCACTTTATTCTTTTCTGTTTTGCAGAGATTCTGAAAAGCTTCCCTCTTGTAAGAAGCCAGATCCCCTGTCGCCAGTGAAAGATAATATCCAACTAACTCCAGAAACAGAAGAAGATATATTTCACAAAGCTGAATGTGTGCGAGTTCAGAGAGCAATATTCCAGTGAACACGGGCAGCTGGAGCCTTGATCGATTTGAAGTCCTATTTAGGAAGGAGGCAATTATTACCAGCCTGAAAGACTCATTCTTAGATTTATGCCATTTTTTAAATTTAAGAGTACATTTTGTATATTAACTGTGTAAGTTTTATTTTGTATATTAACTGTGTGATTGTTTCTTTTGTGCAGCTTTTTATATTTTTTTTCATAAGGAGCTCATGAGAGAAATCATTGTTGACAATTTGGGGAAGTTTTCATGTTCATTGGGCAAGTCTAGAATTTTTACAAATTTACTCTAAATATTTCCGTAATATGGTCAAATATAAGGATAGTAAATGGAAAATGACAATTCTGTAATTATTTTACCCTAAAGGAAATCATTGTTTTTCTCCAAGCTTTAATTAAGCCTTTCCACCTGCTTTTCCTGTATATCTTTCAGTGTTGAATTGAAAATAAAGTTACTGGGACGGGAGGGATAGTTGGAAGGCTTAAATATCATTGCACAAATGGACAGTGCTCTTTTAGCTCTGAAGAGATTGTTTGGGTTACAGATTGACAGTGAAAGAAAGTTGCTTTTAGCCTTATGTGAAAGGAGCCACTTCTTATATCATTAATATTCTTCAAAATAGCCTGTTTTTTTAATGTCTTTTTTGAAGTATGAGCTAAAAGTTCCTTAACATATACTTAAAACTAGTGTCCCAGGTACAATATAAGATACTAACGTTGCAAAGTCTATATAATATGTACACTCTACAAAGAAATAGGCAGATCCCTGGAAAGACAGCCAGAGCTGTACAAGTGAAGATCTGACATGAAGTAAAGAAATTTTAATAAAACTATCTAAGAAGATAAAGGATTGAGAGCCAGAGTATTTTGATTTTTAAGTGAGTCTTATTAGAAGATTTTTGGATAAAGAGGTCAGAATGGTACAAAAAACAAGGTTAGAAACAATAAAAATTGACAAAGGAAACAAATAAAAACCAATCTGAAAAAGAGCAAACCCAAAGAACAGAAGCAAATTTGAATTTTCTATGAATGTTACCTGCTAGAGAACAAATTAAGAATGCGAATGAAAGGGCCGGCTGAGTGGCTCAGTTGGTTAAGAGCTCGCTCAAGAGTTTGAGCTCTGAGCAACAGTGGTTCGAGTCAGCCCGAGCTGAGCAGCCGTGAGCTGCCAACAGGTGGCGGGATGGCTCAGCTAAAAAAAAAAAAAAAAGAATGCGAATGAAACATTGTATACAAATGTTTATTTTCTCACCCATTTTCAGTATCACTTAAATGACAGAAAAGGAATAAAACACACTGTAAACACAAAGGTTAACAGAAGAAGACATCAGGCAAGGAAACTGATTTAGCAAAGAAATCATTCCTGCAGTGGCAAAAACCACAAGAGGTGAGAGTTTAGATGGGCTTAATAAACGGAGATGTCAGGCTGGCCAAGTGGTGCGATGGTTTGGAACTGGCTTGGGACTCCAGAGGGCCCCAGTTCCGATCCCACATATGAGGGCCAGTGACACTGCCCTCTACAGCTAAGTTGGTGAACAACAGCTTGACCTGGAGCTGGGCTGCTGTGAGTCGCTGGTGAAGGGTAGGCTGCAGCCCCTGTGGAAGTGAGTTGCCATGGGCTACCGTGTGTAGCCAGCAGTCGCAGTGAGCGGCCGTCCAGAAGCTGGCAACTGATCTGCCTCGCCCGGGAAGAGCGCAATGATGGTGCCAACTTGGGCCAGTGAAGCAACGTCCTCCACATCTAGACTGAAGAACAAAAGGACAGCAACTTGTCTGTTCCCCTTCCCCCAATTCCCCAGCGATGTTCCCATCCCCCAACCCCCCAATAAAAATCTTAAAAAAAAAAAAATGCAAGTGAGCTCTGAGCAACAGCTGTTCAATGCCCGGCCTGTCCCAAGCTGAGCTGCCAACAGGTGACAGAATGGCTGGTAAAAAAAATAAAAATAAACAAAATAAAATTTATATGTATGTATGTATACACACAATACGTACCTGCATATACACTATAAACACTGAAGAGACCTAGAAAAAAATTAACCAATCCAGTACCAATGAGTATTCCTATTACTCAGCGTATAGTCTTAAAACACCGTTGTGTTTTTTTTACTAAAAGAAACCAGAGCTTCTTGGAAAAACAGTCTGGCAGGAAATGTAAAAGATAAGTCTGCAACATCTTGTTAAAACAACCCATCAGAGGCTACTATATAATTTCAAAATGATTTAAGAGCTAACCTGAGCCTCCCACTGTGCAAACATGGGAAAATTTGATCTTAAGAAAGGATAATTGCAATTTATGGAAACCCATCACAAGTAATTGGGCACCTTCAGGATAAAGAGTCCCAATTCATTATCTGAAAATGAAAAAATAAAGGAGAAATAGCAAGCATCATTCCTGTCTTTCCTCTGAACTGTACCACTGGGTACCCAAACAGCAGATGGAGAAAAAAAATCCCATTTTAGTATTCTAATAATGAAAAAGAAATGAGATAATATCACCATTTCGTAACCCCCACCAGAGTAGTGGATTTAGGCTTTGAACATCAGGCACTGTTAATATCACAAAAATAGACAAGCAGACGTGCTCTGCCTCATGATGAACGAACTCAGCATCCTCTGTCATCGTGCCATAACAAGATGAGTGTGCTCCTCTGGGTCAGCTGATGACGTACAGGAGATAACGACAGAGGGGCATGTGGGACTGCAGCACGAGTGTGCAGTGTGCTAAATCCAGACTGAGAAGGTATGGGGTAAGCGCCCTGGGATTTTCAACAGATAAATTGTTAAAAAAAAAAAAAGATGAAGAGGGAAATTCCGTATTAAAATAAAAAAAAGACAAAACTAAACTAGGTCATTTAGGGATGCACAATGGTGATAAATCAACAGAGATATACAAAAAAAGTGATAACTAAAATTCAGGATAGTATAATAGTTACTCTAGGGCAGTGGTTCTCAACCTGTGGGTTGCGACCCCTTTGGGGGTCGAACGACCCTTTCACAGGGGTCGCCTAAGACCATTGGAAAACAAAAAGATATTTACATTACAATTCATAACAGTAGCAAAATGACAGTTATAGAGTAGCAACGAAAATAATTTTATGGGTGGGGGTCACCACAACATGAGGAACTGTATTAAGGGGTCGCGGCATTAGGAAGGTTGAGAACCGCTGCCTAGGGCCAGGGGAGGGCACCAATTAGTAGAACGAAGCTCCCGGAGGGGATTCTGGGAGTGGCTGGCAAAGTTTTATATGGTGACCTAGGTAGCGTATCTTATGACAGAATTTGTCTTCTAATAACATAGTGGCTTATTAACTATCCATATCATAAGGTAAGCTGTTAGCCTTATAACAATTAAGCCTAAATTTAGCTGTTTTCTGTGGTTTTTCCCTAGTTTCTGTTTTACAATAATTTTCCTTTAAAAAGTAGTATGATTTTATCACATGGAAGATGCAATTGATTGTAACTGACTTTTAGCTACCAGGTATATCTGAAATCTTTTTAAACATATTTTGGTGTTGGACATTTGTTGACTCATGGTTTAGGGGAAGCAGAACAACTGAAAAAAATTCCATTAGGAATCAGAAGACTTGATCTGTAATTCTGACTTGCTTAAAATTCTTAAGTGACTTTGGGTAAGCCACTGAACCTTTGTTGTCTTCTTTTTTTCTCACATGACAGACGTGTCAGGTTGATCTGTAACTCAAAAATTGCAACCCCAAAATCCTGTGAACCAAATACAATAAATTCTTTGATGTATGAATGACCATTAAAGATTATTCCAGAAGCTCCACAAGAGGGCAGCTCCTCCACACTGCTTCATGTCTGAAGAGAAATAACAAGCAACTTAGTCTATTTTTTTAAAAGTAATTCACCCTCTTACACATTATTTTTTATTTCTTTTAATTACACAAGTAGGGCACAAATATATTCCCATTTATAAAAATTCCAATAGTACAGATGAACTTCAAGACTTTTGATTATTACTCTCATTCTAACCCCCGGCCCATATCAGTATTCTTTATGAAGCTGTTTTCTGTGCTTTATAAAAATATGATTTCTGGGCCGGCCGAGTGGCTCAGTTGGTTAAGAGTTAGCTTAAGAGCATGAGCTCTGAGCAACAGGGCCTCTGGTTCGATTCCCACATGGGTCAGTGATGCTGCGCCCAAGCTGAACTGCTGCTGAGCTGCCAACAGGTGGCAGGATGGCTCAGCTGGTGAGAGCACGTGCTCCTAACAAGAAGACTGCCTGTTCCATGGTGGGCTACGCCTGCCCACAACTGAGACTGAACTCAGCACCTTGAGCTGAGCTGCCACCCGGATGGCTCAGTAGACAGAGCGTGCACTCTGAACAACAAGGCTGCCGGTTCGACTCCCTCATGGGATGGTGGCTATACCCACCCGCAACTAAGATTGTAACACAGCACCTTGAGCTGAGAGGCCAGGAGCCCTTCACAACTAAGACTGAAGAACAACAACTTGGCTGGTCTCTCTCCCTAATTTCCCAACACTGGTCTTCCAACTTCCCCCCATTCCCCAATTAAAAACACACACAAATACACACACACACACACACACACACACACACACACACACATATATATATATGATTTCTGCAACTAACTTTTTAATCCACATGATTCGAACATCTTTTCTATTAATATGCATTAATATGTTAACTTATCTTTAATTACTCTTTAGCTCCATAAAATACATGCCATAATTTATTTAATTTTTTCTAAACTAATGACTTTTAAATTATTTTTTCAGTATTAGGGCAATGTTTCCTTGAATACTTCAGTGTTGCATTTTGAAAAAACTGAAGGCCCTCACAACATTTCATGGTAATTAAGATTTTGAAGCTAATTTGTTAAACCAAAGTAAGATTTTTAAATAATTTCCTAGCCATAAATAGTATATGTAGTCAATTCACAGAAAAGGGACTAAAAGAAGGAAAAAGCCTGGACAACCTTCCTTGGAAGCATTTAGGTTTACTCCATTCCATGATGTAAATCATTTGGGACGCCATTCCTTTTAAGGTATTCGACAGGTATGTTTTTGTCTTAGACCGGGTTAGATCTAAGCAGCAAATGGCCCAGTTAATGCAGAGAACAGAAGCAAAAAAGAGGAATGATTAACTGTGGCCACCACAGCGAGGGTGAGTGCTGTGTCTTGGTTACCTCTGTATGGTCTACAATGCTAAGGAAATATTTGCCGAGAAAAAGCCAGAGCCAGTTCATGTATACAAGAAAAGTTAAATATAAACGTGTCTGATGATATTAATGTAAAATAAGTCGTACCTACAGCAAATATTCCTGGAGGAAAGCATAGGCCCCTCTTTGGGATGTTTGTAGGTTTTGGAACCTGGCTGGGCTAAATTGGGATGAGAGATAAGAGGTAGGAACTTGATGGGTTGAAAGCTTAAAGAAGGGAATGCACAAAATAAGTCTGCAGAAAAGACTGGCCCAGCCAAATCAAAGGGCTTGCACTGGAGGAATGAGACGAGGGTTTGATTTTCAGGGAGGGAATCAGGCTGTGAAACGTCTTAAATGGAGTTTGGATTCAACTTCTAGGCAGCAGACAGTAATGAAGTTTTCTGAGCGGCCAGTTTCTCTTCCTATCTCCATCCTAGTTCTGAAGTCCAGTGAGCAGTCCTTGTGTGTCATTGGTTAGGACAGGGAAGAGGTGTATAGCCGAGTGTTAGAAGCTATAATATATTAATATTACCAGTGAGAAGACCAACTCCCAACCCCAAATTCACTCTTATTTACTTATCACACTTGTGATCTTACTTTTTACTTGCGTCTTTATTATTTTCTGTCTCGTCAATGAGCTGTAAGCTCCATGAAGACAGACAAACAATAAATACATAACTGCAATACTGGTATTTGTTCTTCATTGTACTCTCAGCACCTCCCACAGTATCTGTAATATGGTAGGTATCTAATACATTTTTCTGGGTGAGTGAGTGAATGAATGAAAGTATACTGCTGCGAAGTCAAAATAACTATGACCATTTTTACAGAAGAGGAAACAGAAGCTCAGGAAAAAATAACATCCTTGAGGATGGCCCCTGATGAACCCTGATGAATCCTGGATTAAGTAAGGCCTTTGCATAGTTCTTTCCCAAACTGAATAAGGCTCACTTGTGTAAACACCAGCATTGTGTGAAAATCACAGTGTGTAACCCTGGGCTAGGTCATAAAATACTGTATGAGCTCACTTATATGTGGAATCTTTTTTTCCTCTCCCTTACGACTTTTTTTTTCCAATTACAGTTGACATACAATATTATATTAGCTTCAGGTGTACAATACAGTGATTAGACCTTTATATAACTTATAAAGAGATCACCCCAATAAATCTAGTTAGTATCCATCTGAACACCATACATAGTTATTACAGTATTACTGATTATATCCCTTATCCTATATTTTACATCCCCATGACTATTTTGTAACTCTGGGCAGGTGGTAGTGGAGCACCTCTCCTGGGAGAATTTCCTGCCCCCGCAGGACAAGACCAAGTTCCTGGTCCCGCAGGAGCTGACCGTGATCCAGTTCCTCAGCATCCTTCAGTAGGTGACAAGATGCTCGTGGCAGGAGGCAGGGAGTGGTGGGGGGACGCTGTATGGACCTGGGATTTGGGGAATGATGGAATCTGCCAGAGTGAGAGGGAGAAGAATTTGTGCTTCACCTTTTCCCTTCAATTATGCCTTAAAAGAGAATGAACTCATGAATAGCCCTTTCCCCACCAGGCTAACTTTCTCCCTTCCTGCCTCCGCCCCACACCAGAAGCCACGTGGTCCTCGGGGCCACTGAAGCCTTTTACTTGCTAGTGAACAAGAGTACGGTCAGCATGAGCATGACCATGGCAGAGGTCTACAGGGACTACAGGGACGAGGACGGCTTCGTGTACATGACCTATGCCTCCCAGGAGATGTTCGGCTGAGGGGACCCTGAGGTCCCAGGGATGGAGCTGCCTGCAGAGGGGACCCTGCCATCCTCTCCAGCAGCAGGACCCACCAGCTTCCTCCTGTGCACGGTGGACCCCCAGGGAGCAGCGCCCACTGGACCGGAAAACCGGGCCGCCCTGTCCCCTTTAGTGCACATGCCCTGTGTTCTCTCTCTGGGACAATGCGGTGCTCCTGGGAATTTTGGACATAATCAGGCTTCTGGGTAAGAGATGGTTCCACATGCAGTGGTTTTGTGCGATGACAAAGTGCCTTCTGTAATGTAGGCCGTAGACCCTGGAGTTTGGTGTCACCTGGTGCGGCCGGAGTCCCGTGTATGCTCAGCCATGGAGAACCTGGGCCTGGGGACAGGACTGGCTCTGTGGAACCCAGGAGCCCTTGTGAGCCTGGGTGGGCTCATGGGGGGATGGAGGGGGCATGCTTATTGGAGTCATTAGAGAGATTATTGTTATATTCCACAGCATTCACTTGGTTATTTCTTCTTTTATTCTTGATTGTCTGTGCCCCACAGGTTAATGCCAAAGTTGTAAGTACTCAGTTTCACATAATGTCAATGATTAGCCTTCCTTGTAATAGAATTTTCAAAATAATTGCTTGTATTTACATCTTCATTATGGACCGGGCTTTGTTTAAAGCCCTCTACATATATTAACTCCTTATAATCGCCATACATGTTAAGTACTGTTATTCCTGTTTTAAAGATGAGGAAATGGGGCCATGGAAAAATCAAGAAAAATAAGCCTGGAAGGAAATATGTCAAGGCCTCACCAGCCATCAGAGCTCTCATCCATTGCTGGCTGGAGTGTTACTGGTACAGACTCCGTCAAAAAACAATCTGGCAGGCCGAGTGGCTCAGTTGGTTAAGAGCTTGCTCAAGAGTGCGAGCTCTGAGCAACAGCGGTTCAATTCCTGGCCCGTACTGAGCTGCCAACAGGTGGCAGGGTGGCTCAACTAAAAAAAAACAAAAACAAAACAATCTGTCAAAACTGGAAATTCACATACTTTTTGATGCAGCAATTCCATTTCTAAGGGTATTTTATGATATGCTCACACATCTGCAAGATATATATGTGCAAGCTAACACAACATACTGTGGAGAAACAAAAATAAATTAAAACATCCAGCAGGGGGAACTTGTTAAATAATTATGATATTTGGCTGAATATTATGAAACTATCTGATAGAAAGATGAAACTCTTTATGCCCTCATATGGAATAATATCCAAGGTACAATTTAAATGAAAAAAACAAATACATATATATTCAACAATATGAATTTTCTGTTACTATTTGCTTTAAACAAAAGAAGGGAGAAGAATATGCATACTTCTTAACATGTCTTATCATATGTAGAATTTTGGTTGCCTTCAGGAAGAGAAAATAAGTGGAGACAGGGAATTTTTTATTGTTTTTTGTTTGTTTTGTTTTTGTTTCATTTTGTTTTTTAGAGCAGTTTTATGTTTACAACAAAATTGAGATTTCCCAGCTACTCCTTGCCTCCAAATATTCATAGCTTCCTCCATTAACATCAATCACCCATAAGGTACATTTTTTTCCAAGGGTGAACCTACATGACACATCAAAATCACTGAAAGTCCATAGTTGGCATTAGGGTTCCCTCATGGTGGTGTACATTCTATGGGTTTTGAAAAATATATAATCACATGCATGAATCACATGTATAGTATCAAACAAAGTATTTTCATTGCTCTAAAAAGGAATTTTTTCACTCTGTGCTCTTTTGTACCTCTTTTTTTTTTAAGATTTTATTAGGGAATTAGAGAAGGGGAACAGCCAAGTTATTGTCCTTCAATCTTGGTTGTGGAGGGCGCAGCTAGCTCAGCTCCAAGTCCAGTCACCATCCAGATGCCCGTCAGCAGCTCATGGCAGCTCAGCTCAAGGTGCCGTGTTCAATCTTAGTTGCGGGTGGGCATAGCCCACCATCCGTTGTGGGAGTCGAACCGGCAATCTTGTTGTTAGGAGCATGTATTCTCACCAGCGGAGCCATCCTGCCACCTGTTGGCAGCTCAGCTTGGGCGCAGCCCACTGGCTCATGTGGGGATAGAACCAGCCACCCTGTTGCTCAGAACCTGCACTCTTAACCAACTGAGCCACTCGGCTGGCCCCTCTTTTGTACCTTTTGAATTTGAACCATGTAAATGAATTACCCAATAGAAAAAATTTTATTTTGTAATTTCAAATATTATCACCTCCGAAAGTGTAAGCTTCATGGAGGTAAGAGACTATGTCTACCTTGTATTTATTTCTATTTATAACCCCCAGCACAATTCCTGGCATACATTAGCCATTTAAGTAATAGGTAAATTAATAATTACCATTTAGTGGTGGAATTCCAGAAGAGTTTTGTAATTTGTAAATATTCTATAATATACAGGTATTGATTTTTATAAATCAGAAATAGAACTTTTAAGTGCAAAGGAAAGACTCAGATAGAGTAGAATTCTTAGACCCACCCGAGGGGGGCCCCTTCCCTGGGTCAACCCTGTGCCTCAGGACACCCTGTACTTTGGAGGGTCTTCCTCAAATTTTTCTAAGACCCCTTCTGTTGGCTGGGACCAGCTAGAGCTGGCAGAGCCATTGCAGCAGGATGCCACGGGTACAGATCAAATTTTAAGGAGCTCTCCAACCTTCAGTCACTGTTCCCCTCTCAGGGTTGACCAGATGCCCCAAGGAGCCTCAGGACTTGTGGCTGGGCCACCAAAGAACAAGTAGCTTCCATTGGCTGGTGCTGTATTTCTTCTGTGAAATTTGCATGAAATGGGCCACCAGTTGGTGCTGATACCCTGATTTTGAGTGACTTACTTAAGTCAGACACAGAATTAAGGGTAAATTCAAAGCTTGACCGGATTTGCCACTGAGCCTTGAGCTTAAGTTTCCATGCAGCCCAACCACTGGTTCTGGCCTATCTGGGTTCTGACATTTTTTTCACCAAATTGTTTACATAGACAGGACCTCACAAAAAATATTTGCTGGGAATTACAGCTCAAGGGTGGCCCTACTCTGATGTAATCATTTGTGTTATTTGAAAGATTTCAGCAAGAGCAAATGAAAGTGCTTAATGTTCTGACAGATCAAAGCAAACATTTTATTCTAGAATAGAATGAAAGAAATAGAATAATGTTGTTAGGCAGAAGAAGTGAGCTAAACCATTGCAATCAGAGCTCATACCCACAAAATCAGAGTCAGAGGAACCCAATGAGTTATACTGTGGGCTGTTTTTACAGTTAAAGTCAATAGTCTCACAGTAATTTTTTTTTTAAGTTATGAATACATAAACTTCAACTCCCTTGCTGGTTCTTGGAAGCAGCTCAGAAGAAGTCAAGTCCCAACATACTGGCAAAACAGCCTTGGACTCTGCCACATTACACTCTGGTTCACACATAGTTCAACACTGCAGTCATATTGTGCAGTGTGACTCTTCTTACATATTCACCTCCTCCCATCACACTCCTAGTCACATTTTCCAAAGAATAATTTGAGCTTTAGAGAGGGCAGAGGGTAAGAGACAGATTTGCCTGAGAAGAGCCAGCCTTGGGGAGATAAAGTCAACTTCTTCCTAAAATCAGAGACCGAAGTCCTCTCATATCTACTTTGCACCTTTAGGTGCGTCTCTGTGCTGAGTCAGGTGATTCCGTGTAATGCAAAGAAAATGCTGTGTCTCTGGCTACCAAGTGTCATGGCCCTTCCTTGCTCTATATTAGGCCTTTCCCCTCCCTCATGGAGCCCCAGGAGACTTTCCACATCAGATGGAAGCAGTAGAGAGGCCTTTGCTGGGGCACAGCAGCTCCTCTGATGTTCTGTGAGGACCCCAAAGGCGGTGAAGCTGTGAATCATGACTTATGTCAGGCTGAGGCTCTGTGGCACTCAGAAACCCAGCTGAGTCTGTTTTTCATTTTCATGAGTGGACAGTTTGCTGCATGTGAGGAAATGTGCTGGCACAGGCAGAGTGGGAAGGGGCTCGAGCATGGAGCTCTTTTGTCACCAATGGTTGGATCCGACTAGGTGCCAGGGACACAGCCATGCTTACAGAGCTGTGTGTGATGGGCATGAGGGTGTTTGACTCTGTCTCCCCATCACTGCTCAGGGCCTAACCCCCAATGCCATCAGCCTCTCAGTCCTAGTTTGTCCACAGCATCTGTGAACCTCAGTCCGCTCCTTGACCCTCGCCCTCTCAACCAAACCCAGTGAGAGCTCACAGAGCCAGACAGAGTGGCCCGCCTTCCTCTGGAAGAGAGCCTCAAATGCCCTGAGGATGGCAGTGGGATGACACGGGAAAACCCAGTCATTTAGAAGTGGAGGTGGAGGGAGGCAAATGCCAGCCAGGCAGCCAGCCTAATCATCCACTGATGCTCATGACGGTACTAGTGGCCATAAAGTAGGGGCTGAAGGCACGTGGGGCCAAAGTCAGGATTAGACACAACACCTCCCGTAAAGCACCCAGCAGGGTGCCTGGAAAACACTGGGTGCAGGGCTGTTGATTCTGCCCACTCCTCCTCTCCTTCACATCAGGGGTTTCTGCCTTATGGAGATCATTTGCTTTCTGCTTATCCCTCTTTCCCCTCCCCACCTTTCTCCCTTCCTGCTGTCTTCTGGATTAGTTGAACATCATTTAGAATTTCATTTAAATTTATTTAGTGACTTTTAGCCATACCTCTTGGCATTATTATCATTGTTCTTTTTTAGTGGTTGTTAAAGGTATTGGAACATACACCCTTAACTTTTCAGTCTACTGAGTAGAATTAGTAATGTCCCATTCACATAAAATTTAAGAACCCTGCAACTGTGCAGTGCCAGTCCCCACCCCTTCTCCTTTCTTCTGTAATTACCATATGCATACTCATACATCTGTGTGCAGGGGTCCCGCCTCGGCGTTCCAGTGAACAGTACCGGAAGTGGGGGGCGAGGTTTAAGGAAACAAAGAGACAAAGAGACAAAGAGGGTCCGGGAGGACTGGAAG